TCAGTGAACCCTCAGAAGTATCGGCTATTAACTGTCACAGATGCTGTCCTCGCCACCTTGTTGCGCATGGACTGACGTTCTATCATTAGAGGTCCTGACACGGATTCCCCAGTCACAGGTAAGACCAAACTGGTGGATAGACTTTTCTCCAGAGGCTGAAATGCCCTTTCCTTCACAGAGAAGGACGAAGTATACAGTAAAGAAATCATATGAGTAAATGCATTCAGTGTCTTCATAAATTTTAAGTAGTGGGACGAAAACCAGAGATTTAGAAAAATGGGCAATTTAAGATAGATGCGAGGCCCCTGGAGAGAAAGACGCAGTAGAAAGGGAAGTCAGCTGTACCACACTGTGCTTGTTCTGGCTCGGTCTATTTTCAGCTCTGGGTTAACAAAATGCACAGAGGGAAGACTCTCTAACCTCCACCATCCTCATACAGATCAGAACCAAGATGCAGCACACGTTAAGGGCAGATGGGATGGCCTGCACGGCCTAACGCAAGGAGCACGTTTGGTTCTTTGCACTAATTTGCTGTTTTGATTAAAACCCAACTTTCTAAAGACTTATTTTTGGAGAGACAAGTAATCGGGAAACACTTGTTCTTCCCTGAAAGTCACTGGAAGTTAGGTCTGAGTTCATCTAAGCAGGTGCTTGTCCAAAACTGTGCTGGCTCCCTACCCTACCACACTCCTACTAGTAGGGAGGAGATTTACAAACAGAAGCAAAGTAATTCTCAATACAGGGGACAGTAGGAAAGCAACTCTCTAAGATAATGTTATATGATTCCTTCTTGAAAAATTAAATGAATAAAAGTAATGGTGTATTATCTGGTACAAATGGGTTATATCCCAGGAACTACAGAATTTTGACTGAAGTAAAAATTGTATATGGTTTTACAATAACACACATCTTATCAGACATGCCTATCATTTTTCCCAGAGGAAAAAAGGATTCTTATTCACATGGCATGAGCAATCTGCCTGTAGGAATTCACTACTGCACACTGAGGAACACAGAGAACAGACACATCTCTGAGAGAGAGAGAGAGAGAGAGAGAGAGAGAGAGAGAGAGAGAGAGAGAGAGATTTACTGTGAAACTAAGCTGGAACTAAAGAGCCTTTGCAGCCGGGCGATGGTGGTGCACGCCTTTAATCCCAGCACTCGGGAGGCAGAGGCAGGCAGATCTCTGTGAGTTCGAGACCAGCCTGGTCTACAGAGCTAGTTCCAGGACAGGCTCCAAAGCCACAGAGAAACCCTGTCTCGAAAAACCAAAAAAATAAATAAATAAAAATAAATAAATAAATAAATAAATAAATAAATAAATAAAGAGCCTTTGCTCTCCTGAGGTGATACCACCACAAAACTGGGAACTCTGGGAGGGGAAAAGCCAGTTTCACTCTTGAACATGGCACTGCTGCCATGGCTATCTTCTTAAACTATAACATGAAGACAACCGGATACGAACCAGAATCTTTAGTAAGGGGAATGGATGCTTTCAAGGTCATGGTTCTGGGCTTAAGGGAGAGAAGCCTACATTTAGGTTGGAACTTAATCTTGGCCCTGAATTTAAAGAAGAAATTCTAAGCAAATATTTCTAAAACTCCATTAAAATTGTTTTCAACTTTAGCACAAACAAAACCCAACATTTATGTTGTAGTTTTGTAGCTAAGACAAAAACAGGATGAGAGGAGAGAAGAAAGCCACGCCAAGAATTGTCTTTATTTAAAGTCACCTCTGTGTTTAGGCTGAAATTCTTGTCTCAGAAACAGCCTTCCTTTCTTCCTTTAATGTCAGACAGCTATTTAGATGTTTAAAATGAACAAAATCCATTGTTGTTTTGACTTGATCCTTCCTTTCCTTTCGAAAATATAAAATAAAGTACTGTAAAAACTCAATGTGATGTGCCAAGGAAATAAATTTTCAGATGTCTGAAATGACAGTACCCTCAAATCGCTCTCAGATCAAATCATCCAGTGTTTGACTTGGAACAAGAATGAGTTTAGCTAAAATTGAAAAAGTTTAGCAGAACATTTGTTTTCATATAGTTTAGTTACAATTTACTTTAGATTTGTACCCCATTTTCAACTTTGTGTTGGGACTCTGCACCCTGGCAGGACGACTTCTGGCATAGAGCACTGAGATCTCAATTCTAATCGCCTGTCTGTCAAATGGAAGAGAATGCCTCTGCTTGGTGCAAGCCAGACAAGAGCCACCTGGGAGTCTCCGGAAGGCTGTGCAGCAATCCCAGATCCTGCCCGGTTAGGGTGGTGACATCCACGGTGAGAAACTGTTGCCAGCATTCCGAAGGCTCCCTGAAATGGTGATGTGGTTGCTGGTGTCCATGTTATCACAGATAGTATTTGTGGTCTTGACCCCAATGTGACCCACTAAGGGCACATTCTAATCTCTATACTTTTGTATGTGGTGGCATGTTTTTTCCCCTCAGTGAAGAGAAATCCAGTACATAGCTCACGCCATTTCACCTAAATACAAATCCATAAACACTTTAATCACACTCCTAGTTACAAAATCTGTGACCTGTTCTAAACAGCCTCTCCTGTATTTCACATTCTAGATCCTCTCCCCTCATTATGAACCTTCCTGATTGAGTGGCCAAGAGCTGACCAAAGAGCCATCACTAGTACCTGGTAGCCTCCTGCATGGCAGCTTCTGTTGGACAGTAAATCCAAGAAGAGAGAGATGAGCAGGGACTGGGAATATATGAAGGGACAGTGAGACTGCTCTACAGTCAGATTTATTTGGGGGCAGGAAGCAATAAAATATCCCTTATATAAATACAAATATGCTAGTATGTAGCACAAATAAGAAAAACCTAGAGTCAGATACTGGGGTTCAACCTGAAAATCAGAAAAGCAAAGCGGCCAATCCATTAGAGAAGTCTTACCTCTACCAAGGCTGGGCCACCACAGACTAAATAGCCAGAGCTTCTATCTCCTCCCATTTGATATTCCCTCTAGTGCTGGGATTAAAACCACCTGAATTTATTTCTGCACTGATCTTGTGTAGCTCACAATGGCTTTGAATTCACAGAGATCCATCTGCCTCTGTCTCCCAAATCCTGGGATTAAAGGTGTGTGACACCACTGCCTGGCCTCTACTGATTTAGCTTTACCCTTCTGATTTTAGACAAGCTTTATTTATTAAGATATAAATAAAATATTGCTGTATTAGTAGATTTGAAACGTTGGAGATTCCCTTGCATTCTGTTAGAAAGAACTGGGGTCTGAGGCCACCAAATTGGCAGCTGGGTGCTCAGGATGAACATGGTGGTGTAGGAAAGAAATTTAAGAGGTGGGCCTAGTAGGATGTTTTCCGGTCATTGAAGAGGGGCTTTAGTAGAGAATTCTAGTGCCTTCCCTTCTTGTCTTCCCACCTACCCATGAGATAAACAATTGTATTCTGCCACTCACTTCTCACCAAAACAGGCCCACCGGTGATAAACTCAAAAGCTGCTGGCAGAAACAACCCTTCCCTGGGGTGTAAGCCGACTATCTCAGCTAATTTGTTACGTCATGGGAAAGCTGACCGGCAGTGCTGGAGCAAAAGTGTTAGACACAATGTTTCTAGTATCTATAAGCAAAAGAGACCACATCGCTACTGTTTGTGATTCTACTTTGCAATGTGACATTTGAGATTTGAAACTCATTTGTCCAAGATTTAGCACAATGGTTAGTCCCTTTTCCCTTGGAGAGAAGGAGAAGTTAAACCTCCACCTCTGGGCAAGGGGAAAGACTCAAAGACGGCGTCCTCCAGCTCCTGAAGGAGATGGGTGAATTTCATGAAAAAGGCCACTTTTCCCAGGCTTCTGTCTTTCTCCTCATGGGGTTTATATCATTTAGGTTTTCCTTTGTTTTGGTGTAAAACTTTACTTTTCTTTATTTAAAGTAAACGAGTCACCAGCCTTGACTCCAGTGAGATTTAGCCGCAATAGAAGGACAGATTTCTACTTGAGGTGAGTTCCATAAGCAGCATCACCAGAAGGATCACAAAGATATTTAATACAAGAAAATGCCTCTGTATTCCACTTTTCACAGTATGCATTATCTAGTTTTTGTTGTGTATGTGGAGTTGCCGGCTCTAATATGTTTTCGATAGACAACAAGGCACCAAGAACACTGGGTAAATAATAACTGTTAAAAATAGCCACTACCTAACAATGTTACTGGAACAATTAGAGCGCAGAAATGTTCTCACAACAGCAGCCAACGACAAACAAAGGTTGGCACAAAGCTGTTTCTTGGTTCTTTTCAAATTAATATAGCAAACGCGTTCCAAACTCATCTCTCCCACTTAAAACCGCTGGAATCTGTTTGCTCTCAGCTCCCCCAAAGCCTATAATACCGGATGCCGTCCTCTGTAGTTCTACAGTCTTGTCTTGTTTAGTAGGCGCACACGATGCCAATGCATATTTACATGTATGCACTGCACACATGCTTCGCTTTCCTGCACAGAGTAAGGAAATTGTTCTTAAAGAAAGTTCCCATCTAGCTCAACTCCATGGAGTCAGATTCTTCAAACACAATAAAACACAAAATTCACTTCTCTGCTGGGAAGCTGGCTGCTGTGGAACACAGCCAGAAAGTGCGTCCTTGCAACCCAACAGAAGACCAGCATAGGCCTCAGGGACCCTCAGGAATGCTGTAGCACAATTAAGTCTGTATTTGAACCTGGGAGTACACGACATTATTGCCAAATAGCTATTTCTATTCCCTGTACAATGGAATAAAAAATCACAGCTACGTTCTCCGTTCAAAAGACCCAGTAGTTTCCCTAGACTTATGACTTCTCAGATCACCTATTAGATCATAGACAGAAGCCATACTGCTGTACTCTTTAAATGAAAACTAAGACTCCTGAAATGCAGGAAGTTTCTGACATGTCTACCAAGTCTACCATAGGAAATCATTTTGCTTTTGTTCAATGAAATTTTCTACAGAGACACAAAACTGACAGAGCAGTAAATACCACGCCAATCATTTTCAAACATCTCCCCAGTGTTTACAGAACTCATGTAAAAGGTATCGTATATCGTAAAGGACAAAATGGTCTATGACGTCATAGCATTTCATGACATCTTGGAAGAGATACTTGCATTTTGCTGTCACTTTGTAACCTCCTAGGGGAGGGGTGTGGCCTTCCAACGCATCAAATCCTGCAGACACCAGGACCATGTCTGGATCAAACTCTTTGGCCACGGGCATCACGACGGTCCTGTACGGTGAAAAGGCAACAGTCACTCATGGGAAAGCTGGGTACCTGTAAAAACGGCTTTGTGAAAATGACTTGGCACAGCCTCAGTCACTTCCCAGGGAAAGAAGGAGAAGGAAACGCTAGCTGGATCAAAAGCTTAGCATTTCCTTCATATGTGAGCATCCCAATACAGTCTTTTCCCTTTCATCTTTCCCCCTCCAGACTGCACACCCCATGCTCCCCAGGTACATTCTGCAGCCTGTGCCAGCACAGACACATCTGTGTGCTGCTTCATCCCCTGGCCTATAAAAACGAAAGCCCGCTTCTTCCAGAGGAGAGCAATGTTTTACGGGAAAACCGAAGCTTTAGGGAGAAACTAGCTTGCTCTAGTTAAGAAGAAATTGGTATAAATTTGAACTATAAATTTCTTTTGGGAAAAAGTTTGCTTTCCCAACTTTAAAAAAAATATATATATTTAAAAATATTTGTCATGGTAGGGGGTGACTCTTGCAGAGGAAAAACATAGAATTCCCTTAATAGAATCCAGATCATGATGTTAAGGGAGTCCAAGGCCAGACACAGCTGGAATGTGGCAGCCTTGTCCCTGGCAGCAGCCCCTGCTGGCCCCACTTAGACACATGAGCAGTCACCTCTCAGCCTCCTCAGGGCTCTGAACCTTCCCATCACTGTTAGTTTTGAGAGAAAATGACTGCAGGACCTCAGGAAAAAAGTTTACGAGAGCTTCAAGCTCAGAGTGCCATCATAAAAATTCAAATACCAAAGACTTATTTAATCAGACGAGGAAACAGCACACTATTATGAAGTTTACTAGGAAGACTTCTGTCTGTGTGGAGGAACTGAAGCAAGTGTTCCAGGACTAATCCTTCAAGAGAAAACTAATTAGCTCTTTGGCTTTTTAAGAAAAACAATTTAGACTTTCAACAATGATCACTTACCTTTATGTAAAGAAATTTTGACCGAATGCTGTACATTAGTTAGTTGAAATTAGAAAATAGCTAAATGAAACTTATCTAGAGAGATAAATCAGCTCAACACTTTTTCTCACACCTCCTCTGCTAGCATAAAACGCCAGCCCGTGTGCCTCCAAACATATGCACACATCAGATTTCCAGTCATCCCGCCAGCAACTGGAAAACTACCGAGCCTAACTAGTCACTAGTGAAACTGAGAGAAATAGAATACAACCCACTATGTATAGATTATTTATGTTTTTATTCAATAATGTTATGAATATTTAGTATGGATCCAACTCTGAAGAGATTCATAAGATTCTTTCCTTCAATATTATCACCTCTGACATTGTTTTTGTAGAAGCATCATGTCTAATCATTCACTGATGGTCATGAATGAAAAGACCATGTGTTACTGAGACATTGGGCTACTCTCTCAAAGAATTCAGAATATTTTCCCAAGATTCTCCCTTTATTTTGGCGGGTAGTACACACTTTCTTAGCAAACTGGTCTAGTTTATCTGTAAGCCAATCAACACATTCGGTGTGCCAATCATTTCTGAACTCACAAACAAGAGGTTTTCAGTCACACTTCGTCTCAGGGAACTCAATCCGATGCAGGTGGATTCATTCCACAAATAATAACACAATCAGAACTTAGGGGGGGGGGAATCTACCACACATCCCAGAAGCTTTAGATACAAGCTTGCCACAGCCTGGGGTCACCTGAGAGAAAATCCCTTGACCGAGGGATTTCCTAGAGCAGATTGGCCTATGGGCATGTCTGTGGGGGGGGGGGGGGATTGTCTTGATTATTAGTTAAAGTGGAATAGCCCAGTCCCTTATGGATGGCACCATCCCTAGGCAAATAAATGGTCCTGGGGTTGAGCAATCCATCCAGCAAGCAGCATTCTTCAATGGTTTCTGCTCACTGGGCAAGAGGGCATGCTACTCAAAGAGTCAGCAAGCCTGCCTTCCGGTTCCTGCCGTGGCTTTCCTCAAGGGAGGACGGCAGACAGAGCACAAGATGAAATAAAGCCTTCTCTCCCCACGCTGCGTTGGTCATGGTGTTCGTCACAGCAAAAGAAAGGGAACTAGGATACGACAGTATCTACTAGAATCTTTCATTGAAAGCATACATTCTTAAAACTCTGGTTCCTCTTGAGAGCAACCCTCAGCCTTTACTATTAGAATTATTAGAATTTTGTCCAGATGGCAACTGTCTGCCCAATGAACTAGCTATGTGTGATTATAGAAAGTTTGTGTGATGTTCTGATATAAATTATTCTACAAATTTTTTGTTAAACTGGAGAACTACATGGCAGCAACTGCTTATGAATAGTAACATTGGTGATGTTTTGTTCATTGACTCCAACTAACACACATTGCCTACTTTGTTGCCAACACTGCCAAGGCTAAAGATTGTTCAATTCCAAACTAGATCTTAGTGATTTTCATACTGTTGATACAAATTCTTCCTTGCCTACATCTCATAAACAGATAGAACTAATATTCCCCAAATATCATTATATTGGTAAATTAAAAAAATCTGTGTGTGCAAGCGCTTTGCCAGAAAATATGTCTGGGTATCATGGCATGTCTCATGGCCACAGAGGCCAGAAGAGGGCATTGGATCCCATGGGATCAGATGGTTATAGATGATTGTGAGTCACTACAACCCTGCAGGGAATAGAACGAAGCAGCCGCTGGTGCTCTCAACTGCTGAGCCATTCCTCCAGCCCCGTATTTGGAAACTTTTAAAGAGACATCACCTTCATCTTCAAGCTCTTCTATTTATATTGGCATGGGTCTAGAATGCCCACTACAGCCGAGTCTCTTTTCCAAGACTCATTTTGAAATTAACTACCATTGCTAGAGTGTGGACCGCTGCCATTGTTCTGGGAGTGGCAAGGATGAGTCTGTCAAGGGTCTTCTCTGTGCTCTGCCTGTTTGTCCTTCCACCATGTTATTGCTCAGTATGGTGACCCATATCAGACACCAGAGTCACAGTTCCCAACTTTGTAGCTTCATAACCATTTTCCAAATAAATCTATATTCTATACCAATCATCTATCTGTTACAGCCACACAAAATGGACTAAGACCATGTATAAAAGACCAAAAGACTGTTATGAAAATATTAAGTTAAAAAAGCAGTATAATTTTTCTTGAATAAATTCCTCAGAGGCATTCATGGGGTTTGTTGTTAAGGAGAAAAGCAAAACATGCATGTTTGCTTGGGTTATCATACACTTCCTAATAACAATGACACCCCAATAGCGAAAACCTGTCATTTCCATTGTCAATCTCCAATAAAAGTATACAGAGGTTCTTGAAAAGTGATTGACTCTAGGACATTATCACTGGAAAAAAGAAGCAGCTCAGGAGTACTGTATGGAGGCAAGGAAATTGTCAGAAGGGATGGAAATGTGCCTAGGGGAAGACGGACTAAAGCAGAAAAGCCTGGGGAGGCTGGAGCTGTAACAATTCCAGAAACACAAGAAGTAAGACTAGTGGTGGATTATAGCAAACCATAGAAGTAGTCACGAGTTCATAGCATAACAGAGATATAGTCGAACAGAGAGGAAACCGCTCTTCCTACAGAGTAAACTATCAACTAACAAATGTCCAGGAATTCAAGTATTTAAGGAAAGAGAAAATCACCATTTGAATAAGATGAAAAAGAAATGAAGGAAGCGAGATGTGCAGATTCTGTGCATTTTTCACACCAGGGACACAGAGATACCCACAGAACCTTTACTATTGTAAAAGCTCCTGAAACTCCTCCAATATTCTTCAAAATAGAAAGTATCCGAAAAGAAAAATTAGCAACTCAACAATGGGAATGCTATCAGCAAAAGACTTTTATTTTTTTCGTTCTAAAATTACTTGTTCATTTATTTTACTTATGAATATGTGTACATGCATGAGTTTGTGTGTTCCACAAGTGTGTAGAACCTAAAGACGACAAAAGGTGAAACTTGAGTTACATATGGTTGTGGGCCACCAAACAGACGCTGGCAACACTGGTCCTGTGGAAGAGCAGCCAGTGCTCTTAACTACTGAGCCATCTCTCCAGCCCTACCAAACAGACTTTTAAACAAATTTTGAGCAGTGAAAATTTGGGAACAGATTAGGAAATGAACTAGAAAAGGAAGCTGCTACGAAGAACTTGATATATAAGGAAGTAGAGAAGAGATATTTGGCCCTAGGAAGCCCTCAGTAAGGAAATAGACACAGTGGAAGGGACAGGTAGGACTGAAAAGAAGACATTAAAAAAATGTGATCAACAAAAAACAGTAGATGTCCACACATCCTAACTGCCTTTTTCCTGCTAACAACTAGGCTTAGCAGAATCCTCTCTTCCTTACTGACAAGTAGGTGTGCACAAAGCCCAAATTTTCCTGTGATGTTGGTGGCCTCCAAATACAATTCTCTTTGTTTTGTGCTCAGGGCATTCAGCTACCACTAAGCCCCCTTCCAGAAGGTTAATCCCAAGTAGAGTGAAGAGGGGTTAAAGAACTAGTTGATTCCGACTCTCAATTGACATTTACATACTCATTAGGAAAACTGACACTATGTCCTGTCTTCTTAATTATCAATGGAAAACAAGAGAATTTCCTGACTCATGAGAAGACCCAAGAGTATAGAAAAAAAATTCATGTCTTTGTAGTACTTACTATACATTAAGCCTCAAACATACACAATGTGCTCAGATACACGAGACAGTAACCAAAAGGGAAAAAACATCAGGAATAAATCCCAGCAGAAATGAAGAATGGGTGCAGACATCAGTGAAGAAGGTTGACGATAAACAACAAATAAAAACTAGAACAAGGAAGAGAGCATAGATGTGGACATGGAGGAAGGGAAGGAGAGTGGGGGTGTGCTGAGCATGGACTAAGGGTAACAATGGCAGAGAGAGCAGAAAGCAAACAGATCCCGGGCTCTGCCTGCTCCTCAGGAAGAATGTGGCGGTGTCTCACGACACAGTCATGGTTGTATCTCCTGTATGTTCTGAATCCATCTCTTCAACTCTCCTGGAAAGATT